TCCAGGCTCTTCAGGGTGAGAGTTCCCGGGGGCGGCTTCTGCCCTGTTATTACTTTATGCCTGAAGCCCTTCCTGGGGCATCACCTAGGTGTTGGTTCCTTGCCAGGGCAGCCTCCTGTTTTTCTGGACAGCTGGGGAGGGTTCACCCAGAATCCACCTGTCCTGCAGAGCCCTGCCTGGGGCAGGCCTGTAGTCATTGTGGAGAGTCAACAGGTGGCACTGTGACATCAGCTTCCCACTTGCACAGGGGCAGCGGGATGAAGGGGAGCTGTCTGCCTTGTATGTCCTTTGGTGGGGTGCTGTGGGCTGAGTGACCAAACTCACCTGAGGGCATGGCACCTAGGAGATGCCTGGTAAATACTAAGTGGGCAGGATCAGCAACAGGAATGGGGGTCCACCACAGCCATAGACCAGGGGTTGGCAAACTGCGGCTCTCGCGAGCCACATGTGGCTCTTTGGGCACGTTCCGTCTCAAAAGTTTGCTGACCCCTGGAAGAGCCAGTCCTCACAACAATTTAAAAATTATTCGAGAGCCATAAATATATTTTTACAAATAAGGAAAATTTAAAGTAATATAAATGAAACGATGATAGTTTTATTTTCATTTTCAATTTTACTTCAGAGTCACATGTACGTACCCAAAGAGCCGCATGTGGCTCGCGAGCCGCAGTTTGCCGACCCCTGGCAGCTCTTCCGTCTCAAAAGTTTGCTGATCCCTGCCATAGAATATTCCAGTTGGTACTTGGGAGGAGGACCTTCCCCCTTGCTCCTGCCCCACTTCCTGCTTAGCCCACAAGAGGGAGACAGGATTGATGCAAAGCACATATGAAGCACGTCTCCCTTACTTGATATGGTTGGCCCTGTTTCTCTAGTGTCCATTAAGAGATCCGCTTTCTCCAGCCTTCTCTTGTTTGTTCAACCTTCTTATAAAAGCACAAGAGCCCCACTCAGTGTCCAAGAACATCTTACTGAGAAAGCCAAGTTGAATTCAGGTATTTGGGGATGACATTAGTCTGCCAAGGATACATCTGGATTCTCTCAAGGTTCATGTGCTGGCTTCTCCCTCTGTCACAGTGCATTTACCCTAGACCCCGGGGCCCCTCTTGTCAGCCCTGTACCTTTGGGAAATCCCTTTGGCCCATGAGTTCTGACCTGTTGTCTGGAAATGGATCACTAAGAGCATGTAACAGTACTTGGGTGGTAGAGAGAACGATGGACGTTAACTGGCAGGAGAGGGAGAAGCAGTACCTCAACCAGGCTGAAATCTCCTGGGCTGTTGCAACTCGGAGAGTCTGAGGCTCAGCGCCTTCCATTGTGGGCCAGGTGGAAACTCAGCACTGAGGGAACACACAAAAGGGCACACTGATGTGTCTGGAAGGGGCTGGGGGTAGAGGGTCACAGGGGTAGTAGTGTTGGAGCTGGACCTTGATGGGTGAGTTGAGGGCAGGCGCAAGAGCACGGGGCCTATTGTGTGAGGGGCACTGAGATGTTCTAGAAGGCGGCTCCTGGACAGGCCTCATTGGCCTGCTAGGGAGCAGTGCTTTCGGCTTAGCCTGAGGCCCTGCGGACGTGGGCCAGGGCACTGGGCTCTGTCCCCGGCTGTCGTGATGAGTGTTTCCCTGAGTGCCTTCTCAGCTACCACTGCAGTCACAAGTCTGGCTTGCTCATCCACACGGGTCTGACATGGTGCTTCCCTGCCACTGTTTCCTGTCTCCCTATTGCTCAACTGGCAAGCTCTGTGTCTGCCTGTGTTCCCCTCTGTGTGGCTGGGTCAGGGGAGAGCCAGGGCCCCAGACCGCGTCCAGCCCTGGCCTGAGGTGCAGCCTCACATACATGGGGCGGGGAGGTCACCTCCAAGGCCTTGGAGGAGCTAGGGATCAAAGGCACAGTCCCTGGCCTGCAGGTGTTGGTATCTGGGCAGCCAGAAAAGGAACATGATGCAGAGAGGTGATGAGGAGAACAGTGCTGCCAGACGAGGGGCAGGAGAGGCTTTTGGTGGGGCAGGTGGTGATTGAGCTGGGTCTTGAGTCATCAGCAAGAGTTAGCAAATAGAAGGGGAGGAACCATTTCAGACCGGAGGGCTGAGTGCAGTGGCACGGAGACAAGGCGAGGACGAACCTGGCGTGTTCCAAGAAGGGCCAGTGGTTTGGTGTTACTAGAGCAGAGGGCCATGTGCCAGCCAAAGGCCGAGGGCAGGTGTTGGAGGGATCGAAGCAGAGGGGTGACAGGATCAGATTTTCCTGCAGAAAGATTATTCTGGCTTTCTGCAGGGTATGGATTGCAAAGCTGTAGGTTGCAGGTAGGGAGGAGACCAGTTAGCAGCTGTCAAAACCACCCACGAAACAAGTGGTGAGGGCCCTCCCCATTGGCGATGGGGATGACTGTGGTTACTCTGTCTGGAGGTAACATGGATAGGAGTAGGCAATGGCTGGGGCTGCAGGGAGGAGGAGGGACCCTAAGGTGATGCTCAGGCCTGAGAGCTCAGAGAATGCAGGGGCAATCTGGCCCTCATGGACAGGCTGAGGGCGTGTCTCGGGGACACCAAGCAACTGCTGTCTAGTAGGCAGTTGGGTGTAAGGGTCTGGGCTGAGAGAAACTCTGTCAGGGCGAAGATTGGCGGGTGGCCAGGTCTGTTTGAATCAAAGGCAGGGAAGGGAGACTTGTCAGCTGCCCCAAGTGCTGCAGAATGAGTGCCCCCAGGACTCCAGGGCATTCCTTGGATTGGGCGGTTATGGCATTGGTAGGCCTGCTGGTGGCTTGGCCAGGCCATGGCCTAGGCTGGCATAGGTTCAGGAATGTAGGGAGGAGGAAAGGAGGGGCTTGGGTTGGTAGGAAGGACAGTGGTGCTGGGTGAGGTTTCTGGAGGGAAGAATTCCCCAGAATCTTTCTGGGCCAGGTCGGAGGAACAGGTCTAACAGGAAGGGAAAGGATGTGGATGGCACAGAAGATGGCATGAAAGATGTTGGGGCTGGGGGGTGCCAGCCCTGCACTGAGGGGGACACCCTAATTAAGGCTGTGAGCTAAGGTGGGGGCCTAGTAGGCCAAGGTTTCAAGAGGGCCCTGGACCGCTCTTGTGCTGGGTTCTGTGTGTTTGCCTGGGCCCGTGTTGGCAACCCTGGTGCCCCATAGCTGGGGATGGGCTGGGAGGGCACGGAGGAGAGGTGGTCCCCTGCTGTGTTGCTGCTGTCATCGCTGCCACCAGTACCCTGGGCCCAACCTCCCTGGAGTGACAGCCGTGATCACCCACGGCACTGCTGGAGTCCTGCCCGAGTCAGCTGCCTACCCAGCTTTGTTGCAGGGGGGGGGGAGGGTAGGGGAAGTGTCGCCCTTGGGTTTGCCTCTCCGTCTTTGCCTGCTGGGTCCGCCAGGTGGCACACGTGCCCTCTCTCCCCAACCCACTCCAGCTGGGGATCGGCCTGAGCGCTCTGCTGGGAGGTTGGGGCTTGTCAGACTTGCCTTTCTTCCCGGGCCCCTCCAGTGAATTCCGCTGCCACTGAGTCAGGCTCATTGATGCTCTCTGGCTGCTGGGGTGCTTGGGCGCTCCCTCCACCGGGGCTCCAGCCCAGTGGGGGGCAGACTGGTGGGCAGTCAAGGGCTGAGACAGGGAAACCTGAGCCCTGGGCCACGAGGTCCCGGCCGCTAATTTTAGAGAGCACATGTCACTGGAAACTCTCCCATCTTGCCAGAAACCAGCGGCCCAGCTCTCGCCATGCTGCCAGGGGCCCCTGGAACCTATCCCCAAACCAGGAAGCACGGTGGGCATCTCACGGTTCCTGGAGCCTGCTCCCTAAGAGCTTGTTCCTGACAGGGGTTCAGCCAGGGCTCAGGCTTCTCTGGCACATCCAGGTCCTGACCTGGAAATTGCATTTCTGGGCCCTTGGGCCTGGGTGTCCTGTCAACAAAAGCTTGCCTTGTTTGCTTTCCTGTCCGCTGGGGCTGTCTGAGCAGTGTGTGTCATGAAAACCCCATGAAGGCTGGCTGGTAGGGCCAGAGAGAATGGCCTGGCCTGGGAGTGGGCCTGGACAAAGCAGTCTTTGCCTCTTCCCCAGGGCCCCTGCACATCTGAGCGATGGCTGGCCTGGGCCCCTGTCCCAGGTATGTGGGACAAGTCATGCCATCCGTCTCCATCCCTCAGTTTTGACCATTTGAACGGTGCCTTTCTCAGGGGTGGCTTTCAGGAAATGGAGCAGCTTGTGCCCCCAGCTGCGGCCTGTTTGCCTCTCATGGCTGGTCTGGCCCTGATTCTTCGTTTCTGTCCCCCGAGTCCCAGAGGACCTCAGTGTGGCAATGTTATCCAACAGATGTGTTCTGGCAGCTGGCTGCAGAACGCGTTGGGGAAAGGGGTGGGGAGAGAAGAGTCATTCCCATCTCCCTTGGCGTGGGAGTGGGTCCCTAGAAATTTAAAATGTGTCATAGTTCCCAGCTCGGGCCTTGGTTGGACAGGCCACCCATGTCCATTTCTGACTTTTGACTTTGACAGTTGCTTCAGCCTGTTGAGCTTCAGTTTCTCCTCTGAGAAATGGGGATGGTGATCGCCCCTACCTCACAGGGTGGGTGTGAGGATTTGGATGGCTTGTTGGAAGTGTCCCCAGGCACTAGCTGCTCTTGTTTACCGGGGTGATCCTGGCCTCACAGTGAGGAAAATAGCGCTGCTGCAGCTTCCCTGGCACGTCCAGGTCCTGACCTGGAATGTGCCATGTTCCGGGCCCTCGGGCTGTAGCTCGCCTGGCCTGGGTTTCCTGTCAGGCTCCGACTTCCTGTGCCTGCTGTTTGGGGGTAGTGTTAATCATTCTGGTGCAGAGGACAGCTCCTGGTCTACCTTTCCTCTCATGTTGCCAGATCCAGGCCGTTGGCGTCTCGCTTGGCTGCCCTGGCAATCCAAGAGGGCAGGTCTAGGCTGAAGGCAGGCATGGGGCGGGAGCAACTACGAGAGGTTCATGCCAGCCATTTTTCCTTCTTTTTTTTGCTCACTTCTCCTTTCTTTTTGTAAACAATCACAGCCTGCTTAGACGCCTGGTGACTCTCATATCCCAGCAGGCCACACTGCTGGCCTCCAATGAAGCCTTTAAAAAGCAGGCAGAGGGCGCTAGTGAGGCGGCCAAGAAGTACATGGAAGAGAATGACCTGCTGAAAAAGGTGAGATCTGCCTGCCTGACCCCACCATGTGACATTCTTCATGGGCCACTGTGAGCCTATCAGTGACATTGTGGTTGTTGGAAAAGCCGAGGAGTTGGGAGGAGGGGTGAAGGGGCAGTTCTCAGTGGGGGCATGTACGGGAGGGGTCTAGGGGACTGGGAGGGAGAGGGGGTGCCCTCACTGCTCTCTCACCTCTACCTTCTGTGTCCAGGCCAGACTCTTCCCTGATAAAACTGACTCCTTAGTGAGCCGAGCCCTGTCCTATGACCTGTGGGCAAGTTAGCAGGGCAGAACATTGCTGTCAGCTGGGGATGAGGCGGGGACAGGGTGTGGCCAGTCCTAGAAGGCCTGTGAGAAGAGGTAGGTGTGAGCCAAGCTGGGAAGGAGGAGGATGGCCGTGGGTTCTGAGGAAGGGTAGAGTTGGACGGGCCTGGGGAGAGGAAGAAGGGGCGTCGGTCACTGGGGCTTGACTGGCAGCAGTCCCCAGATGACAGCAAGTTGCGTCATTGGAGGGACTGGTAAAGTCGGAGGAGCTGCTAAGAAAGGAGGCAGGGCTGGGGGCCAGGGCATGCAGGGCATGTGGTTTGTGAGTGGCAGCAGGTGGCCCTGCTGGCCCTGGCCTTTGCCTGGTGGCTGGGAGTAAGCAGTGGCCCAGTTCTGTGCTGACATTTCCGAAGGGGCAGGTGCCCAGGGCAGCTTCAGGAATCACAGCTCCGGGGAGGACGGTACTGGAGCGTCTCCCTCCC